TTCATCTTAAACATACATAGACAAAGGTAATTCCACAAAAATGCACCCCCATTTGACTCATGGGTCTCTGTATGTTTTAACAGGAGGCATCTCAGCTGCTCCAGATCTTGCAGGCTCTCCAGCCAGCTCTCTCTATTGACGGGAAGGCTATTGTGGTGGAGTTTGCCAAAGGCTCCAAACGGTAAACACTCACACACCCCAACGTGGCTACAAAGGACACACAAGTGCACTACACATTCTTGGTTGTGCACAAGAAATTATATTGTGAGTTTAAATCATATTAAAACTCAAATTGGTCATGTGAATAAAGTGGATCAGAAATAGCTTTGGAGAGGATGACCTAAAACAAATTTGAGTGTCTGTTGCATTTTTGCATCACAATAAATGCTGTTGAAATGTAGGTCACCAGCAAAAGATCAAAAAACACTGAAACCCTCTCTGTACTTTTCTGTGCCAGTGATGTGTTCCTAACTGATGGCAGCAGAGTGAGTGCTGCTACAGTGGCCAGCACAGCTATAGCTGCTGCACAGTGGGCTGTCACACAGGTAACCTTTCTCAATGACTTAAAACGACAGCAAAGAAAACATGTTGGTGCAACACATCTTTAATTTCAAATTGTATATTTCTGATTATTTTTTGTTTTTTTTTTATTTTTGCCCAATTGTCAAAAATCTTCTTCACACTCAGACTGCTCAGAATGGATCAGGTGGAGGCCAGAGTATAGATACAGCAGTGTATCAGCAGGGGGCAGCAGTAACATACAATCAGGATGGGCATGAATACTCTGGGCCAGATGGTACAACTTTCAAGGCCCAGGCAGACACCAGGGTACCTGCTTTGCCCAGTGCCGGAGCAGCCCTGATGGGGGCATACACAGGAGGAGCTGCCCCAGGTTGGTATCACATATGCTAAGTATATAGAGCATATTACCCTCATGATCTGTGTAGTTATGTTAATTTGACTGAATTGAACCTGTTTGTGTGTGATCATCCATCTGCAGGTGCCATTCCATCTGAGGCAGCAACATCTGGGTCAGCCGTCGTACAGCAGCCTCTCACTCATACACAGACTGCTCTCATGACAGGCACAGCTGCTGCCATACCAGCCACACAGGTACAACATTACAGTTGTCTACTGTTGTTCCTTGCATTATTTCAACCATTACCATTGGTTTTAAAGAGCTTTGTCTCTCCACAGGTTGAGATAGTGGGAAAACCACAACCAGCTGCTCCCAGCCAACCTGCTACCCCAGGCACTGAGCATGAGCTCCAGCAATACCGTAAGGCTTACCTATTATTATACCTATTAATCTTCGCTGAAAACTGTAAATAGATCTACATTCGTGGCAGATGTTTCGGTCAGGTTTTCATAAATAAAATAATAAAAATAATCTGTTTTGGTCGGCCACCCAAATGTATTCAACACAGTGTTGATGTGTCTGTGTGTGGGAGAGACAACTGCTGTCAAAGCCAGTGGTTTCCTACAACTTTGTGAATGGCTCCATTAGAGCTGCTCAGTGCTGTTCAGTTTCAATTTTGGAAGGCAAAAGGGTTACTGGCAGATGTTAATTTTGTGCTTATCTGTATTATGAAAAATTGAGTTGCTGAATCAACAGTCAAGCTTATCTTTTGTGATTTAATGTTTTTTAAATTTGTTCTCTGACCTCGAGGTAAATGTCCTGTGTCTTTACCTGTAGCTGTGCCAGATGTGTCAACATACCAGTATGATGAAAGCTCTGGCTACTATTACGACCCACTCACAGGACTCTACTATGATCCTAACTCCCAGGTAAAGAGTGTGGTGAAAGTACCACAATCAAAATGTTAAGATAGTACTTTTTGACAGACCTTTATTAATGTGTCTTGTTCCTCAGCATTTCAGTCTGCGTATGTGCCCTTCCTCTTTGCAGTACTACTACAACCCTCATACTCAACAGTATATGTACTGGGATGGAGAGAAACGCATCTATATTCCTGCTGCCAGCCAGTCAAACGCTGAAGGTGCTTCGATGAGTGATGGCACAGCCCCTTCAGACTCACTGTTTGCTGCCCCTGGCAGCAAGGAAAAAAAAGACAAGCCCAAGAATAAAACTGCTCAACAGGTATTCTACATACTGGATACAAGTTCAAGTAGTAGGAGATGTGCAGAAAATTAAACTGACCTATGAATTTCAAAGCTAACCTCTATGTTTGCTTTTTGTTTGCTTTGCTCTTTTTTTTGATTGGACATTTGTATGTATGATTCAACATCTCTGTTAATGGATAGAGTACCTAACTGTAAGAGCAATACCTTACAGTATCATACATTTCAGATAAAAATGAACAAACTATGGCCAAAATTACCATAGTTATTTAACACCTCGTAGTCTCAACAAAAAAGACTTCACCAAGGTGGTATTTATTGCAGGGCTGAGTTGGATTACATTATGTTGTTTTGTTGTTGGTATTGTTGTACCTCCTGAATATAGCATTCACAAATTGTGAATCTTCCTCTGAGTCAATTTAAATGGCTAATATCTATTTCTTGGTGTTTATACTAACAGATTGCCAAAGATATGGAGCGCTGGGCTAAGAGTCTCAATAGACAGAAAGAGAACATGCGTTCTGTGTCCTCCTCCTCCCCTGCTGTCGGCTCTACTGCACTGCCTCCTGGTTACACGAGGGCACCTGGCCACAGTCGCCTAGATGACCGCCGAGAGTCTGCTAGTGCTGATGCAGGCTATGCTGTTCTGGAGAAAAAGGTGAATGATGTTTACACAGACACACATACTTAGCTTTAAACACCTGGGTATTATAGTAGGTGGGGAGAATGTCCATCAGCCAGAGCTCCTACAAACATTCATACTGCTGCGTTGCCAGTAATAAGAGAAGAGCTTATTAACTGACCTGATATTCCCTTTGGCTTGTCTGTCCTGCAGGGGGCACTGTCTGAACGGCCTCAGATTTTTCTGGACCAGATCCGACAAAGTACAGAAGTAAGTGGATGTGGCCACATGGCCACCATGATGTACTTGTTATGTATCTGTTTTAGTCTGTTTTCTTCATAGGTTTTCTAACACCTTGGTCTTTTATGTATTTTTCTCAAGCATACATTCATTATCTCCATGTGCATTTGTTCATCAGTTCCTGCCCTTGTGTCTTTCATCTGTAGAGTTCCCCTCCTCAGCAGCAAGGTCTGGTCCCAGCCTATAGTGGAGAAACAGACAGTGAAGAAGAGGGAGGCGAGAAAGATGAGAAGGAGGGGAGAATGACAGACTGGGTTAAACTGGCCTGTCTGCTGTGTAGGAGACAGTTCCCCAGTAAGGAGGCTCTCATCAGGCACCAGCAGCTCTCCGAGCTACATAAGGTGGTTACACAAACAGCTTGAATCTAATTTCACGCCATGACAAACACTGCATAAATGGTGGATAAGGACGATCTGTTAACTCCTGGTTGAAAAGCCAGTATGTTTTCCGTGTCTTTGTTGTCAATTGTTGTCTCATACGATCTTTACTATCTGTAATCTAAAAGATGATCCATAATGACAAAGGTGCAGCCCAATGACATTTCTCTTGTAATCATGTTTAAACTTTCACCTCTTTATCTGTCTGCTCTCAGCAAAACTTGGAGCAGAGAAGAACACAGCAGGAAGCTGCAGGCAAAGAGGTCAGTGAAGCCTCGGGGTCTCATGACAGTTTGACAACATTGTATAAAGTAAATATGTTGCTGATTAATTGCAGTTAGTGTTGATTTCATTGTCCTCTTTTTTTGCTTGCAGAGACTTACGGATGGACCTGAGCCTCCTGATCCTAAGAAGAGGAAGTTTAGCCCCATGTAAGCAGCAGTGAAGTAATAAGTAGACTCCATGTGTTGATGTCTTATGGTTGTTTCAGGTTTACAGTCTTGTACTTTGGTGATGTTTGTGTATGTAACTGCTTTATACTAATGTATTGGAAACACAAAACTATGTCAGTATAACCATTTGCTTGCAATGGTGGATGCGATTTTATCTACTTACAGGTTTGTCTGTTTGCGCTCAATGTTGTTTCATTGTCTTTCTCTCTTTAGTGATGGGATCACAGGCACTAGTCTTGGTGCCAGGATGCTGCAGGGAGGTGTGAAAAAGGGACTTCTATTGCGCAATATGCAAGTTGAGTGAGCCCTCACCCTGAATCGTCAACATCCTGACCCAGGCGGGACAAGGACAAAGCCCAGCACGCAACACTTCACCATTAACATCATATAGATATCTATAGATAAACCTCTTAATTTTGGTTTGACATTACAATTACCTCAACAGTGGTAATACATGCATATGAACTGATCCTGTAGCAATGGATGTCAGGATATTGCACAGAATGCACCTTTTTTGCTTTCTTCCTGTATGATGCAGTTTTGAGTTCTCACTTGCTTCAGAGCTTGTGTGTTATAAACAAGCTTTATGTGGTTGGGAAACATTTGCTGTTGGAAAGTGAAAGGTCAGTATAGATCTTAATGGCAGCAAATTGAATTTTCTATTACTGTCTATGCACCATAGATTTTTTTTTTTTATTTAATGTTATATGCCTTACCATTCAGTGAATGACTGATCTGGGCATGAACTGTGTATACATTTTAGAATGAGCACTTTTATACCACAGTGGGCGCTAAGAAACCGTGGCCTCATGAACTGGACAGGGTCACATCAACACTAGTGTGTAGTCAAAAAGTGTCTCAGTTTGTCAATTTGCAGGTATGAATTCACAATGTAATACATACTTATCTCCGGAGAAACTTATTTTTTATGTCTGTATTTGCTGAATAATGTGACTGTGTTTCATTAAGCTCGTGTAAATTAATTAAGAATAACACATTTTCATCATTATTGATGATTGATGTCTTGTATGGGCAAGCCAGTGAACACTTCTTTTATTTCGACATTTAAACTTGAAATTTCCAAAGCTGTGTTTTTGCAAGTCGGTGGTTTGAAAAAAGAGGAATATAATGTAACTCTTTTTATGAAGTCTCTAATGCAACACCTTGACCCGCAGTAATTGTATAGATGTTGCAAAGCACGTAAACCTTAACGTTTGTTTGCCCCTGCAAATGCATAAATTCACATGTGCCTTGAGTTTCTATGGCAACAACAGCAAACACGGTTCTTAGTTTGCTCGCCGGGATCGTCAGACATAACCTGCAGTTAACTGCAGGTTTTAAAAAGGGTTAACACTAGCTTCTTGTTAAAATCAATTGCTGTCGGTTTTTACATTTTGATTTCATGTTAATGGTTGTGTTGTAAAGTAAAGTTACAAAGCTGAAGTGTTAGAAGTTAGCTTGCTTCTTTGGCAGCTAACAGTCCGTGCATTTATAGTTAGCTAACGGTCAGTTAATTATCAGCTGGTGTTCTACGGTGGCCCACTTTTTTTTTTTTTAAATCAAACTAAAATTGACGAGGATGTCTGATGTGGATGAAGATGCAGTCATGTCGGATGTAGACTGGCAGGAAGAAATGCATCAAGACGGAGTCGAAGAGGACGAGAAGGTACAGTTGTGACTAAGGTTGATGCGACTGCGTTAACATGATGAAATGCACACACCGCATCACAGTATTTGCCCCATGTTTGCAGACTGTAAATAACGCTACCTGAAAGTTGGACTCAAATCAGTTTAGTGCAGTCTCTGTTAAAATCATACTCCATTTTACAACAATTCTCTACCACAGGATGTTGAATCGGGAAAAGTAAAATTAATCTACTTTAAAAATTCCAGGCCTCATACAAAATATGAAGATGATCACTTCATTGATTTGGCTTGATTCCCACACTCCCTCCCCTTCTCCTCAATGCCTCAGGTATCCAGGTTAACCATGTCTAGTGTAATGAATTACATTCACAGCAAGGTCTACAGGCTCAACTTTTGGTCCTGTACATATATTGGTGGTGCCCAGTTGAACATTTTTTCTCCAGTGTGTTAGCACCACCAACAATTTGGATTTCTTTTCTCTCTCTGTGCTCCACAGGTCCAGCTTTGCCATTTGACCCAAGAAACCATAAGTCAGGGGCTCTCATTACTGTGCCGAACAGGAAATGGACTAGGGCATGCATTTGTCAAACTGGACTTAAAAGACAAGTAAGGGGGTAAAGATACATGCAAAGCAAAATTGGCTGCCCTTACCCTGTAACTTTAAATTCAGGTTATCCTCATGAATCTCCTCTTATATCATACAAATTTTCCATTTATCATCACTGCACTTCTCAGAGGACTGAATGACATAGCTGCAATTAGCAGTTATATTCACCTTCGTTTTCTGGACATATCCAACAACCGTCTTATTGATCTCTCTCCTCTGGCATCTCTGACTCAACTTCTTTGGCTGAAGGCAAGGAGCTCTCTTCTTTATTCTTTTTCGAAAAGGACACATCTGGGGCTGTCACAGTTATTCAATCTAACTGATGGTAAATCTTGAATGCACCCCTTTTACTGCAGGTTGACAATAATGCTGTGGCATGCTTCAAAGGGCAACCTTTCGCTCACTTAAACTACCTGCAATGGCTGAGTATGGCAGTGAACCAGCTGACAGAACTAGATGGCCTAGTTGGACCTGCTTTAGAGAGCCTCAATCTTACAGGTTGGTCTGTTGGTTTTTATGTCAGTATAAGTAGTGTTATCTATGATACCATATAAGTGACTGATCCTGAGGAGACGTCCGTCAAATGAGGAATAATTAACTTTCACTATCATTTGAAATTAGGGAAGTGATAACAAGAGAGGCTTTGATTGTTTGATCAAAGGGTGCTTCATTATCCCATATGTTGTCATTTATTCTTAGGTATAACAAACTCTTCTTCTGTTGTCAAGATTTTAATCAAATATCTGACGCCTAGTGTACATTTTTGAAAAGGCCTTGACATTATATTTTGGACCCTCTTTGACAGGTAACAGTATTAAGACAGTGAAAGGTCTTCAAAGTAGCTGTTTTGCCAACCTGGTAACTCTAGAGCTGAGAGGAAACCACTTGGATACCACTGATGGCATCAATCTTCCCAACCTGCGACGATTATATCTGGTAATAAAACTACTTTGATCAGGTTAATAGCACTGGTACCCATGTAATAGTTTTATATATATAACCAGAGAACAGTCTAACTGTTTTTGCTCTCTGTTCAGGCCCAAAACATGATCAAGCGTTTGGAGGGTTTGGAGAAGTTAGAGCGGCTCACCACCCTTCATCTTCGAGACAACAGGCTAGATTCTCTGGAAGGTCTCAGCCCCAGCATGAAGTGTCTCCAATACCTCAATGTCAGGTACACTGTTGTATCACAGCAGGACTGATCAGATCAGTGTGTCCTGATGCTCCCATCATTGATTCAGTAAAACACCAAATAAAATTTTATATCACACATTATATGTCCCAAATATGTCTCTCTCCCTTCCCTAGAGGCAATGCAATCTTAGATGAGAATGCCCTGCAGCACCTTGGACTTTTGTCAAAAACTCTGCGTGCTTTGGTCATTTCTGAGAACCCACTGGTGGAAACAACAGACCACCGGCTGAGTGTACTGACTTTCGTGCCACAATTGGAGCGAATTGACAAAGATCCTGTCTCCCCTGAGGAGAGGTCTGAGGCCTGGGAGAGAATCAAGGTAAACATCTTATTTCTTTCTGTGGCATGGTCAAACAAAAACTGCTCCTTTGCTGGATTTTCTAATGCTATGTATATCATTTCAGGAACTTAGAGAAGAGGAAATACCTGACCCATAAGATTTGTAATGGGGGCAAAAATGAGGAAGTGTTTGACTTCCTTGACTTTCTTGAAAAGAATTTGGCTGGGTGACTGTGATTGCATTTTCTGTGAGATAAGTATTGTGTATCTTGATTAAGTATCTTGTATGATGCATAATCTATAAATTTGTACATTAAGCTTGTGTCATTACACAAGCAACTACTACAGCCAATTTACTTTTTCAACAATAAAATTTAGAAAATGGTTATTTCTGATGCATCCATTGACATGTACAAATGCAGGTAATCCACTGAAGTTACAAAGCAAGGTGTCAGTGGCTAAGAAATAAGAAATAAATTGGTATCAGTTGCCTCTCCAAACTGTTCTGTTTCCCTGAGTAAGGATGAGAGGGCAAAATCTGACTCCATTTCCCTATTGGCAGCCATCCAGCTGCAGCTTTAAAGGGACAGTGACATGATGATATGTATGGACAGTAAACATGTATGCTGAGGTATACTATCAGTATAAGTAGAGAGTGTTCATATTGTATCAGATAATACAATTGTTTCTGACTAATAGCTGTATCTGAAGTTGCCAGTGGCATTTCCACACATCATACTGCTGTCACAACCAGGAAGTTAAATGCCCACTTCACTGAAAAATTTGCTTTGCATTTCATTAATATTTCAGAATGGTGGGTGAAATTGCTGTCGTATTTCCTGATAATTTCACACCAAAGCTATATAATTATCTACAGGTCTCCACACATTGACTACCTTTAAAGATACTCTTGATTTATACCCGCATGTGCGTTCCACGCTCTTGTTGTGAATATTTTGGTGATTTGCTCATTTAAAAATAAAGAAAATGATAAGAAAATAAACAGAGATCTCTATCTTTCATGAACTTAAAGGGCTTTGTGAAAGAAGCAACTTGCACCACTACTGTTCCTCCAATGATTGGATTAGGTGGGAGTGGCTGTTACAGAAGACATAAGTCCCCCTTTTACTGTCGGTCCTCCTCCTCCTCGGTTGTACTTGCACCGGGCAGCTAGCAACGGCGTGGCGCAGCGTCTAACCTCCGACACTGGGAAGCAGCTGTGTGACTCAAATAACCGAAACTAACTTCAAGTGGACACGACTTTGAAGAAAGAATCCAGAAACCATGTCTAGTTACCACAAACCCGACGAGAAAACTCTGCAGGGGCTGAAAGATGTCGCCAATAAGCTCAGGATCCACTCCATCAACGCTACATGCGCCTCTAACTCTGGGTACGTTACTCAAAGTTACTCAAGTTAGCTGCAATTATTAAAACTACAAAGCTACAAACGAAAAAGTGTGTATGATGGACGGACACTGTAGCAGGCGCACGCTTCACCTGTGCGGCCTGGCTGCACGTGCTGCAGACTTGTCTTCACGCGGTGGAAAAGCGTGGCCACAGCAGACAGCTAGCTAGTAATGATACAAACTGTTCTATTAACGTTTCAAGTTCATTTGTGAGTTAAATTTGACTGAGTCTACAGTCCAAGCTAAGATTAGCATATGCTAACAGTCTGTGGGTGTCTTTCTTTTCAGACGCTGACAAATGAAAACTAATGGCAGCGTCTGTATCGATAGCTGGATGGTCTACAGTCAGTGCAGTCCAGCTGAACAATTCCTACTATATATTAACAGTTACGTGTAAAGTTAACCTGATATAAAGATATTAGCACCGACGTGCTTTCTACTAGCTAACAGAAAATCACATGATTATGCGAATGGATGAATCTCGTGGTCTGTTTGACGCCACAGTTTAAAGTTACAGCTGCGACCGAAAACGCCAGAAAGATGTATACAAATGCACACCCACTGAATTGCCTAAAGGAAACCTATGTCGGGTATAATAACGGCAATAAAAATCGCTAGTCAAGTACACCTGTGCTGTTGCCTCATCCTGAGAGTCAAAGTTCCCAGAAGCCTAGTTGCAACCTTACGTTTTCCTCTTCACTATGATAAATGACACAACAGCTTGACGCGGGAATAATGGGATTCCCTTCCTTGTTCAGAGTGACGCTATATTGCTTCTGTGATATAGATCTCTTCCCCTTCCTTGTATTCTGTTAAGATTACCAGTAGGTCTACTCGTCCAAACCTAAAAACCACAATTTACTCAGCAAATACCAGAAATGCCTGTAATTGAAATGATAGATTTTGAATGCTGTCACATGTACAATCAGGGTTATATGTTAAATTTATGAGGGAGAAGAATTTAGGACAAATTATTTTTCTTGCTATGTAGATTGTAACAGAAAACACAGTTCATGTCCTCTTTTTGTTATTTCTTTTATATTGTATACTGCATCTTGTTTCACAGCCTTCAGAACTTCCATATTGAGAAGTACTGTATTTATATTGTCTACGTGGTTACAGTTAATGGGTAATTATATCTACACCCTTCAAGAAGTCCAGCATTGTGTAATCACCTTAGGATACAACTGCAAGGTACAGAATCAAAACGTTTGTTGATAAACCTGTTTTTGTCACTTCCTTATGTCACTTGAGGAAGTAGATTAGCTGTATCCTAAACGTTTGGATTGTGAGGCCTAGCCACGCATGGTTTGATACTGCTGTTTTGACACATTACACACAAAACATGTCGTTCCTCATTATTTGACTGATATTGAACATTACTTAGATTACCTAATGACTTTTGTTATGGCTTTTATGAATTTACTTAAGTTTATTTCTCAGCAGGTTGTCTCTCAACAAAAGGACAAGGGGTAAACAGAGCACTGGGTTTATTATTTTTAATTGTAATATTTAACAGTGACCATGATGTATGTTTTGCATAAGATAACCCTGTGTGTTCCCAGCATGTTTTAAATGATACCATTTGTAACTTGACTGGCACAAGGAAGCTGAGATGCTGTTGAGTAATGTGGCATTTCTAAACAACACGTCGATTACAGTAGTTGGACCACTGCTGTGTAGCAACTAACAGTTTCACAAGTTTGCTTATCTTTATTTTTATTTTTTTATTTTTTTTAAATAGTGTGGTAACATAACTGAAGTGATCATGTTACAAATTAACCATCAATTGACATGAGTGGTATTCCTAATCCCTAAAGATGAGAAGATGTCCTCAGACGTCAAAGCTAGTGTTTGGAAGTTTGCATTAAGTTCTACTGGAATGACTGGAACGGGTTGTTTGGTTTTTGTTTTTTTGTGTTGTACAGGAGTATCTCATTGACTAACTAAAACCAAGTGTTTTTTAATGAATTGTAACAGGTGATTTTTCATGGGCTAAACCCACGTGTAAGGACTCCTGAATGTAGTAGAACATGCATGTGCATGCATGGAGTGTGAATTTTGTTTTCTTTTTACATGGTGGAATTTTTACTGTAATCTTCCTTTTTAATGGACTATCTTTCTGTCTCTCCTCAGTCACCCCACATCATGCTGCAGTGCAGCAGAGCTCATGTCTGTGCTCTTCTTCCACACCATGCGCTATAAAGCCGATGATCCTCGCAACCAGTGTAACGACCGCTTTGTGCTCTCAAAGGTTGGCATCAATGTCTTTTTGTTTATGACTGATATTCTTAAGTTGGTCCATGCACATGAGACTTGAAAACATGAGTGTCTTTTTGAAAGACTTTTTTTTTTTTTTTCTTTTCTTTTTCCCCTCTTTCCTCTCTAGGGTCATGCTGCACCTGTCCTGTATGCTGCCTGGGCAGAGGCAGGTTTTGTGAAGGAGTCTGATCTGCTCAACCTGCGCAAGATTGACTGTGACCTGGAGGGGCACCCAACACCAGTAAGTCAAGAGTCCTGAATTTGTTTTCAGTGTTCATGTTTCCTTGGAGAACAGAAAGAATATGATGTACCCATAACACTACATCGAGTATAAAGTTTATTGTTGTTTGTTTTTGTTTTTTTTCTCCTCTTTCCTATTCACCAGAAACTGGCTTTTGTTGACGTGGCAACAGGATCTCTTGGCCAGGGTCTTGGGGCTGCCTGTGGGATGGCCTACACTGGCAAAAACTTTGATAAATCCAGGTGAGTTTTATAGTGGAAACTATGGAGTCATGAAGAGGTTGAAAGACTTGCATTAATCCTATAGTAATTTGAACTCGTATGATGATCTGAATCCTCAGTTTTCAGTCTTCAGCATTTGTCGGACAGGCATCCTTTTTCATAGTGCATCAAGTTCTAAGTAGCTTAAGGGCAGGAGTTCTCTATACTCAAACTACACTTTCTGTTGGGGTGAAATGTTGAATACCATCTTGTTGTTGACTCAGCTTTGTTTCAACAAGAGCATTGTTTAACAAGAGTGTGATGCCTTAAGTCGTAAGCGGGGAACTGCTTTGCTACAGTTGTATCCGATGCACCATAATCTGTTAACTGGATAAATCTGTAGTAGTGTAGTTGTAATTGTGTTAAATCACTCCGTGGCAGGAATGTGGAGCCAGGGCCAAGAGGTGTCTACAGTGCCCTCAAAAGATACTAGCCTCTGAGTCACTATGACATGCTTCTATCTATCTAATTGGAACTAATTGATACCCTGCTGTTAATTCTGTCAGCTATTTATTCATTTAAAAGGAAAACTCTCACTCATATAGTCATATACGTCAAAATTGTGGTTCATTGTTTTCCCCTCTCCCTTTTTTATACATTGTGTTGTAGTTACCGTGTATACTGCATGCTGGGTGATGGAGAGTGTTCAGAGGGCTCGGTGTGGGAGGCCATGGCCTTTGCCTCCTACTACCAGCTGGACAACTTGGTGGCTATCCTTGATGTCAATCGGCTCGGTCAGAGTGAGGCAGCACCCTTGAAGCACGACATGGAGACATACCGCAAACGCTGTGAAGCCTTTGGGTGAGTACCAACTGCAACTTTCCACTTTTGTCGAATCTCCAAGGAAACAATTTAACGTGTTAACACTTAACCTTTTGAAACGTCTCTAAATACACTATTAAGATTATTGATGACTTTGTTGCATTAGCATTTGGATAATCAGGACCTCACCACACACCAATTTCAAAAAGTTTTGGCATGAGTTTTAATGTTGTTTATATCACTTTGTAATTTCACACAGTTTTAGATTGAATTTCTCTTGGCCACATCTTGCACATACCTTTTTCACATGCTTGCAGGACATTCTGTACCCTCCACATTGAATTTTGACCTTTCCTTTCGGTCTCTGCTTGCCTTTGCTCGGTTAATAAGTTTTGATGCTTGACATGTTTGCTCAGAAGTTAATACGTCCCTGCATTTTGGGTTAATATTTGTTGTAATGTGTGGCGTGCTGTTAAAATCGAGCCATGTTTTTGTAGGTGGAACACATATGTTGTGGATGGACATGATGTGGAGGAGCTGTGCAAAGCTTTCTGGCAGGCTCAGCAGGTCAAGGGCAAACCCACTGCCATCGTTGCCAAGACATTCAAGGGCAAAGGACTCAAAAGTAAGTGAGGTTTTCAGATGGTGAATATTATTTACTTAACTCTTCTTGAATTCTCTGTATTTAATTATCTTGTTCATCTCTTGGCTGTAGATATTGAGGATCTTGATAACTGGCATGGAAAGCCCATCCCTAAAGACCGTGTGAACGACCTCCTGAATGACCTGCAGGCTCAGATCCAGGTCCCCAACAAGACCCTGTGCCCTGAACTGCCCAATGATGACACTGCACCTGCTGACCTTAGCCCCATCTCCCTGCCCTCACCCCCAGCCTACAAAAAGGGAGACAAGGTACTTTTACTTGTTTCTTAATGGGGGCTAAGGGATACTTCAAGCATTTGTAATGATGGGTACAAAGCTTCATCGATCAATGATGGTCAGCTGGGTAAAGGTCACTGATAGCAGTGTTTTTGCAGAGAAGTCTTATTGGCTTAGTGGGTGGAGGCCTTACCTAACTGTGATACCAGCACCTGAGATAACCTTTTTTAACCTACATGCATAATATTGTTGTATTAATAATCTTGTTAGTTGTTTTGTTGTATTAATAATCTTGTTAATGTGTCATTGCTCACAACCATTTCCTTTTTTTTTTTTTTTTTTTTTTTTTTTTTTTTTTTTTTTTTTTGTCCTGTCAGATGGCAACAAGGAAAGCATATGGTGTAGCTCTGGCCAAGCTGGGACAGGCAAGCAAGAGAGTGGTGGCTCTTGATGGAGACACCAAAAACTCCACCTTCTCAGAGACCTTCAAGAAGGCCTTCCCCGACCGCTACATTGAGTGTTTCATCGCTGAACAGAATATGGTACACAATATTTCAGTCTTCTGGGGTGACTTAGATACTCTTGATGCTGTTAATCATATGCAGTTGCTAATTTTAAGTATAGCGAACATGAAACTAAGAAGATTCTGAGAATTTGGAAAGGTATAAGGACATGGTGTATCATAGACTCCGTCCAAATCTGCATAATTTTCAGAAACAGTCGGTTTGTAGAGAAGTCAACCGATCAACTCTGCCTTGTCAAGCTTCATGACGGTTATGAAAGACGGCTAAATCTGGCTCAGTCTACACTCTTCAACACCATAGTCTGTTCCAAATGGGTCTAATCTGTTACTATTCATTCTTTAGCCTGATAATCCCAACCCACCCACTACAGTGAGAGGTGCTGCTGTGACCAATTTACACAAGCTTCAACACTTAAGACCCTTGCTTAATCTGTCATTAAGACTAACCCATTTTACTAATGTCTTTGCTCCGGCAGGTTGGAGTGGCCATTGGCTGTGCCACCCGTGACCGCACAGTTGCATTTGCCAGCACGTTTGCTGCCTTCCTGTCGAGAGCCTATGACCAGATCCGTATGGGAGCCATCTCCCAGACAAATGTCAACCTGGTAGGGTCCCACTGCGGAATCTCTATCGGTAAGCTTTCTACTGAAGCGTCACTTGTTTTCTGTTGGAAAAAAAAAGCTGCGTATGCACTATCCCTGACGGATGTTATTTTCCCCTCAGGCGAGGATGGTCCTTCCCAGATGGCCCTAGAGGACTTAGCAATGTTCCGTGCCATCCCAACATGTACTGTGTTCTACCCCAGTGACGCAGTGTCCACAGAGAGGGCTATCGAGCTAGCAGCCAACACAAAGGTTGGTAGTCCAGCCAATGGTAAAGCTTGTTCAATAGGTTGTATTCACAACATTCTCATGTTGTAACACATCACTCTGTTCTCTCAGGGTATCTGTTTCATCCGCACCAGTAGACCAGAGACTGCTGTCATCTACTCACCAGATGAGAAGTTTGAAGTGGGTGTAGCCAAGGTAATGACAAACCACGATTTTACATACATGAATCCTTGTGCACAAATTGGCAATAACACAAATGGGGAAAGGACAGCAGAAGAAGTGATGTGGAAATATTTCTGTACTTCACCAGGTGGTCCGCAAGTCTGACAACGACAAGGTCACTGTGATTGGAGCTGGTATTACTCTGCATGAGGCCCTTGCTGCTGCTGATATGCTGGCCAGTGAAGGTAAACTCACATTGCCCTCTAGTGGATGATGTAGGAATTGTTCTGAGGCCCACATCTCAAAACCACCATCCACAATTTCAGTGCTTGTTAGTTCACTGGATGAAGTCATCAGCTGCTTGGTCTGCTGGCATGGCCTAATAATAAACTCTGAAGTAACAATTTGCTCATGAATTCCTCTAGGAAAGAACATCAGAGTGATTGACCCGTTCACCATCAAGCCCCTGGATGCCTCTACCATTCTGGCCAGTGCGAGAGCCACAGGGGGACAGATCATCACTGTGGAGGACCACTACAAGGAGGGTGGGTTGTTTTCTGTTTTCATGCTAGATGTTTCAGAATTTGCAGGCTTTGATTCGACACCAGGGGCCATGATTTAAAACGCTTAAGTGATGCGTTGTTGACCTCTCTGGTGGTCTGTCTCCTCTGTCCAGGTGGTCTTGGTGAAGCTGTGCTGTCGGCAGTGGGCACCGAGCCCGGCATCATTGTGAACCGGCTGGCAGTTTCTGGTGTTCCCCGCAGCGGAAAGCCCCAAGAGCTGCTGGATATCTTCGGCATCAGCGCCAAGCACATCGCTAACGCCGTGCGCCAGACCTTTGCAAACTAAGGACTGCACCTTTTCTCCCACTTGTTGCTCTGTTGAGTCTCAATCAACTTTCTGCCTAACTTAATAGCTCCCTGGCATGATCACGTGAAGACCTGTTTAACTCCTCTGTGCCCAAGTGCCATCTTGCGGCTTTGACTCGAGTGCAGTTTACTAACCTTATCACTATCACAGCTGGAGAGAGATGGGGATAGGAGTGTATTGTGGTCAGAGCCTGTAGTGGTAATGATATTCCTACCTATATGCACCTTCTAGTACCCTCTTCACGGATGGTTTCTGTTCTCCCTGCGACATTCCTTTCTTGAATCCTGTATCTTATTTTCAAATGGTGTCTTGTAAGTGCTACGTTGACAATTGGATTTAAAACCATCAGCCTGTCCACATTCAGGCCACAACTTCTATCGCATTCCAAACATCATTTCTTTCCCACATTCCTGACACCCATTCCTCGTGTCCTCTCACTTGGCTGTCCTTTTCCAAGAAGCACTGTTACGGTTTGTCATAAATCTAATGTAGAGATTAACGTTTGTAGTTTGTATTCAGTCAGTCTTTAATGCTTCAGCTGCAGTAGAGAACTGTTCTTCAAAGACCCCGGGAGTGTGAAGTCTGACCAGTTTAATAATGAACCATGTGATCATTCCTCTCATGATCCCTGACCACATGGGCATCACACAGTGTTGTTGCCGTTCCCTGTCACCTGTTGTGCTATTATTGCGTGATGTGCTGAATTAAAAAATAATTAACCTAATGCCATTTGTTGTCTCTTTGTTTGTTTGTTTTTTTTTTTTTTTGTCAGCCATGGCTCTATAGATGGCATTGTGAGTTGGAGTACCACTAATGTTCAGACTTAAATTCTTCTACTCAATCATTTGAGCCATGGAGTTGCCCCCACCCCCCTTAATCTAGGTCAAAATATCACTTTGTCCAGTTTGGTTAAGACCAAACACTTCCAGCAGACTGTGAACTGTGAGCCACTTCAACAGCTCAGAGACATTCTGCCATCAAGACCAGGTGTGTGTTTCTGTCAGGGAGGTGGGGTCCGCATCTTTTTGTTTAGAGGGGGTGTTGGGGAACCACAACTTGTATGTTCATCAGTTTGAATGAGTTTGTTTCTGGTTAAACACCATAGCATGAATGGAAGAGAGGAATCTGCTGTCATTCTGATGAATTCCAAAATGTGTCTTACCTCCACTTGTTCTCAACGGGACACAGCAGGACTACAAGATCATGAATTCCAGACACGTTTCCCAGAAGCCCCAGCTCTGCTCTGCCAGGTTGGGGACTGAGCTTGTGGAATAAAGTTATTCATCTCTGTGACTGTGTGTGTGTGTGTGTGTGTGTGTGTGTGTGTGAGAGAGAGAGAGAGAGAGAGAGAACAAGCTAAATGAAAATGGTGAATGTGGTAAATGTACTGCACACTGATGTTGGTGTTTAGCTCAAAGCACCACTGTGCTCAAGTACATCTCACAGAGCTGTTAGCATGGTTCCAGACATTTAGTCTTGATTTAGTTTTACAGGATGTTTGCTACATGTGGCTTTTTTACAAATAAGTGTCATAGATGTTATAGAGCTGGCAGTGGTCCGGCTGTCTGAGCCACGTTTATTTCTGAGTGAGAAAACAAGCCAGTAAAGTTGTGTTGTTATGGCAGAAATGGTACAATAGTTCACAGGAGGGTTGGTTAAGAAATATGTGCATCGTGTCTTAAACCAGTGTCACCAGGGAAGTTAAAGTATTTATATCGAATATCTCAGACTGGACTAACAGTCTCTACAGTGGAAATTGTTAATCCAGGGTGTGGTCAGACTGAGGTTGAGAAAGGCTTTGAATGTGGTCAGTGGATTACTGCATGTTCCTGTCAAGTTTGAAATGCATAGTCTTTGGACGACATCACTATTTACCTTGGAAGATCACATTAGGACCTCAGTGTTTACTGTCAAGTTGTCCTGTGTGCCATTTGGAATATGTCTGGGTTCTGCTCTCGTCTCTGTCTCATCAGCTGATCTCCAACTGCAGAAAAACAAAACTACATGTGATGAAGAACTGAGGCATAAATCCCATCTGCTTTTCAAACAGCTGATACTGTAAATTAATCTCGTCACTCTCAGAAGCAGTTGTGTGGGACATAACAACGTCCATATACATGTCAACAGATTTACTGTGTGTGTGCGTGTGCGTGTGCGTGTGCGTGTGCTTGTGCGTGTGTGTGTGTGTGTGTGTGTGGTTGCTGAGTAAATAAAGAGGAGCTGTCAGCAGGTTGCAGCCCACAGTGAAAATCCCAGTTTGGCTCAACACTCTGCCAGTGGCACCTGCTTGGCGTGGCTCTGAGTGTGAGGATGCACACACACTCCACAGTACATGTACAGTATGTATGTATGTACAGAATGTCGAGACGTCCTCATTGTTCACTTCTCAGAGGTCGTGTTTGTTTCATACATACATGCTGGTGGAGCTTAGCCAAACAAGGTTGACTCCGACCTGAACTGTCTACCAACCCCCGTCTCTTGTTGGAGAAGGTCCAAGATCACCATGCTCTGATTCAGCCATGAGAAAAAAAAAACAAAACTGACAGCGGATCACAAATTCATGGGTCAAACCACTCGACAATGTCCAACTAGAATCTATCACAGGTGTATGAAACTCATTGTGTACCAGTTTCTATATTTTGCTCCCTGCCCGTCTCTTACCTCCTCCACAAACCTCTGTCTTTTCCACCTAGTGCTAGCAGACAGTTATGAAAGGGAGAGGAGACAAGGAGGAGCAGGGCGGGTCTGTGTATTTCATGCTACGATGAACAAGGTCCCTTATTTACAATGTGAGAGTTTCTTCTTTTTTTTTACCCCTCTGCCTCATAGATATTTCTTCCCATCCTCTCGCCCTTTCTTCATTTCTGCTTTCACTCTGAGAAGGGGGCATGTGCATTACATTTTAGTACTGCTTGAGGCTGAGTCACAACAGAGAAACTTTACCACGGTTTTTCCTCCCAGTATTCAGAATCTGAAATTCTAGGGTTTTCTGGAGATTTATCCTTGTGTATCCATCTTTGCGTAAACTGTCACGTTAACTGCTACTCACAGTTTCTTGGGTTTGTCATAATCGTCTGCGCTTTCTGCGGATTTGCTTCTTCCCTGAAGATCTAAAGGTTTTGGATGCATTTTTTTTCAACTGATGTCTTAAACTGAGTTTACATCCAGCAATGAAGACACCAAGGATGTGGATCATGTTCATTTGTCTGAGTGGCACAATTTTAACAGGACTATGCCTAAACTCTTGGCATGACGTGGATGTATACTTTGAAACTACTTCTGAGGCACCTGGTTTAGAAACAGCTGTAATTCTTCCACCAGGAACTGATACAACATCAGATACACAAGCTTCAAGTCCAACCCTTCCTGCTGGTAAGCTATTCTCTTGGATGCTTTTGGATAAAAAAAAAAATGTTTTAATAAATGAAAAAGTTTCAAGTTATTCAGCTCATACACCAGATTGGTAAAAAACACAAACCTTTTGTTTAGGTTATGTCTGTAATTGCTTTTTTCTTCTTTCTTTTCTGCTTTGTTAATTGGATTTGGAAGAAGAGAGTGAGGATGAGCGTCTCCAAATGGAAGCAGAGGAGGAGATGGAGCACCAAAGAGCTGAGGTCAGAAAGGTGGAGGCTGGGAGGAGAAGGAGAGGTGCCGGGGGGAGGAGGAAACGTGCAGCTACAGTGGAGGCCAACGCGTATAGAATTGTACGGGTAGACAAACACAGAAATCCACTGTGTGAACACAGAAAATCATCTTTTCACTCTTGGTTTGTAATGTTAGCGGTTTCTTGCTTGTTGTAGGCAGGGTTGGGGCAACCCCTGATGGGCTGGAGGAGGCGTGGGAGAGGAGAGGAGGGATCCAGCGCTCTCATGGCCGTGCTCAGGGAACTTCATGCTGAGAAGAGGAGGCTGATGGATGAAGGGAAAGCACAAGAGGAGGAGGAGGAGGAGGAGGAAGAAGAAGAGGATGATGATGATGACGATGACGATGATGATGATGATGATGATGATGATGATGATGAGGTGAGGAAGAGGTTTTTTTTTGTTGTTGTTTTTGTCCATTTCATCCAGTTGAGTTAATGAAATATTTTTTAAATACATTTATATATATATATTTACAATTTTATGTGTCAGGAAGAGGAAGAAGAGGAGGAGGAGGAAGAACAACAACAACAAGAGGAAGAAGAAGAAGAAGAAGAAGAAGAAGAAGAAGAAGAAGAAGAAGAAGAGACAACTGAGGCTCCCACCAATCAAACTGTAACACAGAGCAGCTTTACAGCGTCTCCTCTGGACCAGTGTCAGGCTGCTGACAGAGAAATCAGCTGCAGGGGCATCGGCATGACTCACCTGCCAATCATTCACAACCTGGAGGCCACGAAGCTGGATGTGGCAGGTGTGTATATGTCCATGTTTTTTTTTTTTTTTTACATTTTTACATCTAGCTTCTAGTAAAGTTCCCTCACTGATTATATAATATTACTTACATGAGTGTCAAAACAAAAGTTCCAGCACGGATATGTGAACATGACATGACCTCTGAGTCAAGTGAAGTCCCTTATCACGCTCCTGTCAAAAGACTTTATACATGATATCATACCATATATGATACCGTGGGATTTATCTTTTACAGAGAACAACATCAGAAGCCTTGAGCCACAAGCTTTCTCTGGCATACAGAACCTTGACGAGCTGGACCTGAGCAAAAACGAACTGGACAATGAGTCGTTCAGCCAAAACCCCCTGTCTGTGAGTATCACTGCTCGCTTTAATACTCACCTGCAAATACATCACACCTATAAAGTTGTGTTATGTTGTATTATATTTTAGTTTATTTATTTATTTGATCGGGACAATGCAATTTAACATAGTTTCAAACCAGGGTATGAAACTAATGAGTTGCACAAAGAGTTTATAGCTATTTGCTAATTGTCGTCTCCTGTCCCTAGTTGGGCTTTTACATGTGTAATGGAATTAAAACAGTCTATAGCAAAAGCAGCACTAAACAGACAACCCAATTGATAACACGCTACAATTAGCTAAAAATACACACAAGAACAGTCTAAAAAGAGACAACAGCAGCACAACAAGCTACAAGTAGTCAAACAAAGACAATTAACAATAGATACAATTGCCTTGAAATGACCACAGCTCTTAAGGGATGCCTGTTCTTGCTTTAAAACTCTATAGTATTGCCTGGTCACGAGGGCACATGGTGTCATTGACGCAATGCACCCTAAACCAGGCACATCCAAAATCATCTAACCGCAGAGCTGCTGCAGTGTCAGCAGAGTCGCTCCTGAAGTTCAAGTCCAACCTGCTCTACCTGCAGTCAGTGTGTTACAACTGTAGTTTTTTTAAATATTATTTACTGTTCTTCATGCATATGTGTTTTCTTTTATTTCATGTCAACTATTTTCTGATTAATACTGAGTGTCATTGTGGTTGTGTGAAGCAGGGGATCCTGGCCAAACTTTATTTGTCCAAAAAACAAACAAACAAAAAAAAATAGGAGTGAGAGCCCAAAGGAAAATAAACAACAAACACAATGTTTCTGTTTCTACATTTACTCAGTGCAACATATTTGAACTGTAACTGTTATTGAAATGAGTTAACACAGGCTCACCTGTCTGATGTCATAGATACAAACTTTATTTATTCAAGCTTTAAGGACAGAAAGAAAGAAGTAAAGCTAACCTTAAAGCTAAAACAGGATGTTTTAGAGCCATAAGCTCAATTGTGTTTCTATTTTAAGCATTAGATTTGTGTGTCGAAGATCCACTGGAAGTTCGAGTGCCACAATAATGTTCAATTAGTGTTACAGCAAGTGTAAAACCTCAACACATGTGGTGCAGCTGCTATTATTTCCCTTTTCTGAAGGTGCTATAGGTTAACACGTCTCCAACTGATCTGATACTGACGTAAAAAAAAAAAGAAGTCCTTCTCACGGAGAATCTGCAGCCTGCTACTTGTGAATGGGTGAATCTGTGAGTTACAAGACAGTTTTATGAGTTAGTTTGCATCTAATTAAAATAAAAAGCAGGCTGCATCCTGTATCATTACAGCAATAAAAGAGCACTGAAAATTGCATTAACTAATCCTTTCTAAGAATAACCCCTGGTCTAACCTCTAAATGACCACAGGCCAAACACAGATCCCGACCACACTGAGGCAGCCCACCACACTCTGACCAATCATTACGCACCAGCACTGACATACTCTCACAGTATTGGCTGGGATAAACCTGTTGGAAAACAGCTGCAGCCAATGATGTGGAGAATAAAAGGAAATTATATTTAGAGAATTTTTTTTTTTCTTTTTCTTCAATTTGTGCTCGCATCCCAGTAATGACAGAGGACTGATGGCCTGGCTAGAGGGATACTGCAAAAGATGCAGTCCACTGCTTTTACTTGACACACGCCGACCACAGCAGCTTTCACTGGGGAGCCACACAGAGTGGCTTTACTAAAAATACAACATGATAGATGACATGGAAGAGATGCACAGATTTGACATTCTCTCATTTGGTGTATTTCTGTGAACTCTGTGATTGTGTTCTGCTGGGTAAGTTGGGAGGGAAAATTATGGATTTTCAGAGAAGTAGCCTTTTTGTCTGTTTTATCTCTCTGGCCTGAGCACCCTCTTTTTTTTTTTTTGCTGCGTGTCATGCAGAACTTGACCTTTCTGAGGAAACTGAACCTAGATGGCAACCAGCTCACCCGGATCCCAGCACTGCCGCCATCTCTCGAGGAGCTCAAGATCAACAACAATAAGCTTAATACACTCACCCCCCACTGTTTCAAAGGTAGGAGCTGTGTCTGTGTACATCACAGAGGAAAAAAAAGAAAAAAAAAAGTCTTAAATACTGATGGTGATATTTATTATCCCCCTCTAGGGCTGATGAACCTGTTGAAACTGCAGCTAAAGGAGAATACTCTTCATGAGGGCAGTGTGTCATCATTAGCCTTCAGACCTCTAGAGAAGCTTGTGAACCTCCAGCTGGACAAAAACCGCTTCCGTTCCCTCCCTCAGGGCCTTCCTCCCTCTCTTCAGGTGCACTGATATAACTTTCACTGAAATCCTTTAGGGATAATCCTCCCGCTTAAAATGTTAGGATCAACTGGAGCCTGCTGGGACTCTCTATAATTGTACTCAGGGTCAATTCAGAGAGCCAGATACTGATACGAGGACGAGAGCTATGACACCTTGATGCACAAATTCCAAAATCTGTCTCTCTTTTTTTCTTTTTTGTTTATGCACAGGAGCTGGAAATGAATGAAAATCAGATTGAGGAGATACCAGAAAAGGCACTGAGGCGCTGCGTTCATTTGAGGCTGATGAACCTGAGTCACAACCTGCTGCATGAGCAAGGCATCGGTGAACGAGCCTGGACCCGTCTTAAGTATGTCAGTCCATCCATCCATCCATCCATCCATCCTGAACTATTCTAAAAATATTGATAATGTTCTGCAGTCCCTGTATCAGCCACAAGAGGGTAGACTGGTGTTGTTTGGGAGTCTGAACACCTTTGTCATGATTTTTGATGTTTAAGTGATTATCAGTTGATGATTGTGGCACTTGAAATAGCACATTCCCATCAAAAGCTGATCAGATAACTTACTATTTATGTTATTAATATCAATATAAGCATCTGACGCAATGATTCACACACAATCATGATGCACGTCAACAGTCTCACACCAAATCCAGGTCAGTACTTTTAGCTCCTTTAGCATGTCTGGCATCAATATGAATATCTTTGGCTGACGTTCTGACTGATGCACAGACAGGCAGACATTCTTCTTTTATTTTCCTCTTCTTCTTTCTCTCTCTCTCTGTCTCTCTCTCTTTCTCTCTCTCTCACACATGCATGCACACATATCACAGAAGTTATGACAGCTGACCTTGTGTATTTAGATGAGCAGACGTGTGAAGGAGAGCTTGAGGGCAATGGTGTGCCTGTACGTGTGTGTCTGTTTATGGCTCCGTGTGCCTAGATGGTGTGTGTGTGTGTGTGTGTGTGTGTGTGTGTGTGTGTGTGTGTGTGTGTATGTGTTGTTTAAATATAGTGAATTCCAGTGGATTTTTCTTTGCTCCCTGGGATCCTTGCGAACCACAGCGGGAGCTTCGGGGAAAACTGCGGAAAAGAAAATGCAAAAGAGAGAATAAAGGAACGGGAAAGTGCAACTGGAGAGACTTTGGATTGCACTGATATGACTGAATGATTATGTACAAGAGAAAGTACTATAGAAATCTAAAGTTGAGAAAATATATTCAGGGGAAATTTGACTGAAAAAAAATCTTGTAATATCAGATGGAAAACACAAAACCTTGTCCTAAAGGGGATAGAAAAGTAACTTTTCAGTGGAGACCATTCTACCTGGCTTCACTCCAAGCTTTCATTTGACTTCTGACTCAAGTATATTTGACGCCTGACATTTGACCTCATTAGTGGGGAGAGCAGCAGCGTTCCCATTGGCACTCCAGGCTTATTAGCTTCCTTTAAAAGCTTCCTTCGCCACTGAATAGACAGCAGAGTGTGAACAAATCCAACTCACACTGCAGGAGAACATACCTTAAAGGGCAAAGGTCAATAGTGAGACTCGAGTGACATATTACCTCCTTCTAGTCGGATTATATCTTATTCTGCGGATAATGATTAAATCCATGTTGAACGGCTTGTGGAGAAATGTCTTCATCGTGTAGCAGAGGTGTGTGGAAAATTAGACAGAAAGCGGTTGAAAAAAAAAAAAAAAAAGGGAGCAACAGAATGAAAAGTAAATTGCTTAATGACAAAATAAAGCGCAGTGTGCTGGTTCTGGTTAGTGGAGCGCCTCTGTTCCATGTCATGAAGTCAGTGTTATTGTTGCCTCGTGCTGGGCTTTAGGGATTGGAGGCCTGAGTGGAGGATACAGGAGGTTACAAGAGGCTGGGGAGTGCAGCTTGGACCTGGGCTCTGTCTCTTGCAGACCAGGCTGTCTGCCAGCATCTCACCTCATTATGTACCTTGTTAATACTGTGCATGTAAACTCTGATCAGTTTGTGTATTATAACCTAATATTTTAGCTTAAAAAATTCTCGGTCACTGTTTCCCAGATCCCTTTTTTTTTTTTTTTTACACTGTACTGAACTGTAAACTTGTCCCAGCTCTGTCTTTACTTTGTGTTCCTCTGGTTGTGTTTACAGTTGCTGTCAATGTGTGGACATCATTCAAACATACAAAACACACACACATGCTTTACAGCCAGTGGCGGAAAATAACTGGGCATATTTTTTTCAAGTGCTGTACTTGAGAAAATACCATACTTGGGTTCTTGTACTGTACTTTACTGTAGTATTACCATTATATAGTCCTCCTTATTTTTCAGAGGGATTTATTGTACTTTTTACTCTGATAATATGGTTTCACTTTTACTTAAAATGTTGCATGCATGACTTTTAATTGTTATGAATCCTTCTTATGCTGTGTTTTTGCTACTTTTACACAAGTAAAGCATCTGAATACTTCCTTCACCTCGGTTTACCTGCGTGTGTTCAGGTACACGTGTGTTACATAACCCGAATCTGTAGTAGTATACAATTAATGCTGTAGCTCTAGGAGCCAAGTTGCCTCTCCTTAGGGGCACGGCTATCAGCTTTCATTGTTGAACACAAAGATGTGCGCATGCACACACACATGCACGCACGCACGCATGCCTGTTTACCATCTTTTCCTGGCTCTTTAGGAACCTGTCATCTCAACTGAGTCTTAAATGCCTCCATATTCACTCTTCTCGTAGTCGCTCAAAACTTAAACGTTGACTTCAAACACATGTTCTATGACAGCACGGAACATGCTTTAAATTACTCTCAATGATTAAAGCTACATAAACATCGGTCATTCCAAAAGTCCAGAATAATTATATTTTATGGGTAATATGTTTTAAATTACATTATTTAATTCATGCCGTCAAGCGTTTTTATTGGGAAAGTGATTCCAATCTGGATTTTCTTGACTGTTGTGCAGCTTAACGTAACAGCCTTGTAAACGTGTCATTAACTTATAAAACATCCAGTAAAACTTCGCTGGTAGTATTAATTAAGACGTGACACAGTAATGGTGTGTCAGTTTGTTTGATTTCATGTTTAAACAGAAAGCAATTTTGTGCTGATCGAATTATATAACTTTTTTCCCACTTGGTTTTCATTAGATGAGTCATTTTGACAGAGAGGCTGTCGTTGGAGAGGATCTCCATTTAGATTTACCATCGCTGCAGGCTCAGGCTGACTGCATGGAGGCGCAGGTTCAGTGATCATTACATTAAAATTGTGCGTGTCGTCTTATGTTATGACGTGTCTGAGCCTGATAGGTCTTGCAAATGGAGGCTTTTTTTTTTTTTTTTTTTTACCTTTGGACCGGCTCAAATTGGTTTCATAATAAGCTTACATAAATGAGAAAACAAGCTCACATGCACACACCACCACACAAAAAAAAAACACCAGCTATGCCAAAGTATCACCCTCATGTCAAGTGAAAACCTCTGACTTTGATTTAAGTGATCTTTGGTTCACTTTTAAAGGTTTCCTGTTTGGTTACAAACACATTATATTGGGAGTGGAAGCCTTTTCAGTCTGACACAACAGTTTGTAGGTTAACTATGCAGGCATGCATACACTCACACTGGATGAACAGTATACAGTGCTGCCTCAGTAAATTATTCAAGTCATATTCAGCTTAAATGAATCCAAATGTGCTTCAGACTCTATTTAACAGATGTGAGAAATGGCCTAAAATACTTCCAGATATCAGCCTACATTAATAAATTCAGTGCACACAGAAGCCTGCGCCAAAAAATGACAAGATAAGCCACACTCTGCCATCATCTGTCCATCATACCATTTTTTTTTTTTTTTTTTTATGTCAAGTGTTGGTCTGTGTATCCTCACTGGTGCAGCCGCTCTTGCCTGGCTACATAACTTATCCTGGTGAGGTTTCCAAAGTGTGTAAGCCATGCAGTGTGTAGTGCTGGCACGGTGGGCTCGGCACAGACGGAGCTGTATCGTATTTGTGCAAATGTGTTCAGGAGCATGAGACAAACCCCTCTGTGTGCTGGTTTCCATTGGAACCCAATATCCTGAAGATGAGCAGACCAGATCAGCTTGATTACTGCTCACCATGCTTTGCATAAAAACATGGAGACACACACACACACACACACACACACAGTCATGCACACAAAAACCATTGGTTTTGTGTAATAGCTGTTTTTCGTCTCCATAATTTTATTTATTTTTTTGGGAAATTAAGCAATAAATTAATCTTTGGAAAGAAAACTTATTTGTCTGATATATATTATGCTGAGTGTCTATTTGTGAATTTTGCTTTCTAAAATGCATATATTTCTGCTTGTACATACATGTTCTCTGTGCGTCTTTCTGTCTACACGCGTGTTTGTTCATCCGTGTTTGTGTGTTAGTGTTTCTTCTTCGCATCCTGTCGCAGGAACATGGGCGTGCGCGTGTGTTGGGGTGTGTGTGTGTGTGTGTGTGTGTGTGTGTGTGTGTGCGCATCTGTGTAGGTGCCAGTGGGTGGGAGTGTAGAGGGTGGAGGACTCTGAGAGGAGAGGACTGTGTGTCCCTCTTCTCATTAATACCATGTGGAGCTCTAAGCAGCAGCGGACTGCCGCTGAGCTTCCTGGCAAAGATTTAGAATACAAATCAACAGCACACAACTGGTCTAAACTGGTACTGAGATAATATTTCAGGGTTTAAATTTTCAAGCAGAAACACATTTTTCACAGCAGTCCATGATTGCTACAATCCTAATAGGTAAAACGAAAGGCCCGCTGCGCGTTCAGTGAGTGTTGGCGCATGTGTTTGTGTTTTGGGTTAAAACTCATTCCCCTGTGTCTTAACTTTGTTTTCAGTGAAACATTTATGGTTGTATTGATGTGGTGTTATATTATATCTATGTTGAGCAGAGAGGCATGTAGCTAACCTCGGGTTTCAGTGGACATTGTTTGACCAAACGGAGAGAGGAAGGACTAATGCTGACCACAACCTTTCCTGTGACTCAGAGAAATGATCAGAATGAGCTCAGTATACCAACATGTTAAGCCCTTGTAATTGTCACACATCATCTATCTCATGGAGGTTGTGACCCCCACAGAAACAGCAGTGATGGATGTAACCTGGGAGTTACCGCAGAGGGTTTACTGTAAGTCACTCTGACTAGTAGCAGACATGCTGAGGTGCTGAACATCAGTCAGTCAGATGTCAATCCAAGCGTCTCCCACATCCATAATCCTCCACTGTCTTTGGTCTCTCATTGGTCTTCATTGAACGTGACTGTGTGGTCATTGGCTGGCCACCTGAGAATGTTCTGAGCCCATTGGCTCTTCGGTGTGGTCTGTGAATGGCGGAAGAACAGGAAATGAGGTTCCTCTCCTGCTGTGAGCTGCGCTGTAAACTCACAACAGCTGTGTGGGATCTTCCAACTAAAACACTGAACCCTTGTGCTGCATCTTCGCTTCAGACCCCTGAGATCTGGTCCCTCTTGTCTATGGCTGTTCTTTCTTTGTGCCGCAAACCAAACATTTGCATGCCCCTTATCAGCCACTTAGCCACAAATTCCCCCTCAAATTGCCATGCTCTCCTACAGTGCAACCCCTCAGGCCCCATTATTTTCTCCCCTGCTGCTTCCCATGTCTCCCTCGCAGCTTAGACTCCCACTCCGCACTCTTGCCTCCCTAACAGCGCTATGCGGGAGTCCAGCAACTATAAAGTATGAGGTTCTGCAGTGAAAAGCCTTGGAATCAGACTGGCAGCTGCTGGCAGGGCTAACAATGTCTTCTTATACATATCTGACTGAGAGTCATGATTCTTCTGTGTCTTTCTTCTCCTCAGGTCCCTGGAAGCCTTGGACCTGTCCTACAACCAGTTCACCTCTGTCCCAATGAATCTGCCTCGTCCTCTGCGTAAACTGACTCTCCAGCACAACAAAATCAGTCACATCCCCGCCTCCACGTTCCGTCACCTGCGGCCCGGCCTACATTCCCTCCATCTGTCCCACAATGCCTTGAGCAATGAGGGTATAGGGCGGGTCTCGTTCGTTGGAACATACCGCTCACTGGGTGAGCTCCTATTGGACAACAATCATCTGTGGGAGGTTCCTCGCTGCGTTCGACAGTTTAAGAACCTGCAGGCGCTGAGATTGGACAACAATCGGATCAGGTAGAACCACACTAACCATGAAGTCAGTGTGTTCATCATGCAAGGATAGTCAGTGCTAGTGCAGCTCCCTTTTGAAATTCCCTCTAAGGAAAGCAGTAAGGAAGGATATTGTGGCATATTTAGCCATTCATTCAAACAAGTTTATTCCAACCGACATTTGAACAACAGTCCGGTTCAGCATTAGGATTAAGACGGCGACTGTTGTTGTCACAGCAATTTTTTTAATATTCTGTGAACAGACACAGTTTCTCCTTTGATTGAACACAGTAACACTGGAGACCAAAGCAGCAATTATGATTTACATGACCTCGTGTTTGTTATCGTGGTCAGTAGCCAAACTTGATGAGTGTACTGTACTTGGCAAAAGTCAGTGGCTAGACTGCACGACTGTAGAGAATTGTTAGCAGGTTGATTTCCTCACTTGGCAAATGAAATTTCCTGTAGTGATGCAAGAACCAGTGCTAGGCTGAAATGAACATGGACTGTTTTGTCTTGTTCCTGTTTGAAAGACAAAGAACCAGAAGTCAGTTTAAAATGTGAACTCGCAGGATACCCAGGAATTCCCTTTACATATTTTTTGAAATCCATAATTCTGCTGAAAGATGCTTTGATAGACGAGTAATGGAGAGCACCATTTTAAAGAAACATATGTGCTGAACTTATACAACTTGATCTTCTTCTTTGTGCATTTGGGGCAAGCAACAAATTAGCAGTTGTGGTCTGAAGGTGCAGGGTTCAGACTCTTTTTGGTCTGTTGTCCCCCTCAGTCCTGTCAGATCAACTCCTTCATCAACACCACCCACGATCTTCCAAATGTTTTAATTTAAACTGATTTTAATTCAACGCTACTGATTACATATAAAATGACATTGTTACAATAATCTTTTCCATACGATGAAGCTGTTAGTGTTTAGGTGGGTTTGAGGCAGTTGGATGTTTTATCCATTACTTTCAGCTTATTTTGTCCACCATTTATTAAACTTTAAGCTACTTATTTAAAGGTATAATATGTAACTTTCCCAAATTAAAATGTTTAAAAATGACAAGTTATACATATATATATATATATATATATATATATATATGTTTATCCAGTTTTAAACCACATTTTTACGATACTTTTTAAAATATCTATCTTTTAATCTATCTATCTTTTAGCTGACTGTTCACACTTCTCTGCTTGCTTGCTAACTACACTTCATTCATTCTCAATCACAACATATAATGCTTAGGTCCTACAGCTGATTGAATATGTGAATTAAAATAAAATCTAATCGTAATTTCTATTTTTTTTTAATTAGTTGAGCTACATTCTTTCCGTGTACCCCGTGGCAACAGCAGTAGCTCCTGTGGTACACGTGCTCCTGGTCGGGAGTCACTGAAGTACAGGATTCAGTTTGCAGCGCATCTAAATTTAAGTGTTGTGTATGTTGTGGTTTCAGGCTGGTGAGGCAGTGGGGAGTGTGCCACCCTCGTAACTCTGGCTCCACCTTGGCCTCGGTTCACTTGGAAAATAATTTGCTGGAAGTGGAGAAGATTCCTCCAAATGCCTTCTCCTGTCTCACTGATGCCCAGGGACTGGTCCTCTATCCACAGCAGAGCAACGCATATGACCAATAGGCTGCGCGGATCATCATCATGACGTGCGGCTACACACGTCCCTCTGGGGGTTTTCTGTAACCTTCTTTTGCCTCTGCTGCTCATATCATTTGTGCATCATAATCATCATCCTAGAATCAGGCAGGGTTTGCAGAAAAATAGCTTTATCATGTAGTTTGCTTGGGGACCCAGAGTTTTCATTTCAACATCACCAAACCCATCGTCTTCTCTCACATCTCACCTTTGATTAGGAAAATTACTGTAATGTTTTGGTATGTATTGAAGCTAAAGTGTAATTTACACAGTAATGGAACTGTCTATTGGAAACTGTCTTGGTTGTGTAAAAGGATAATACATTACATTGGAATCAGGATTTGCTCAAAAAACAGGTCTTACTCTTTTTCATTCTTTTCATTCAAGTATGTAATACTTTGAGAATATGTTGACTGAAGAGGATTAACCGAGGTCTCTATTCGAGTCTGCGGTTTTTCCAGGACTTACAGAAAGAGCCTTTGTTCCTGGTAAGTGGAAATAAAAGGGGAAATCTTGGGACTGCGGCATGGGGGTCCCTGAGAAAAAGTGAAAATGTGTGGTGACACAGTGTGAACCTAAGGAGCCCATTAGAAAGGAAAATATAAACATCATGCAGGTTTTCTATGACCAGATGAGCTCCAACATAAACATCTACCACCAGCCGCTCAGCGAAAACACATCGGGTCACTCTGACTGCAAGTGGGCCCCCCCCCCCCCCCAGCCAGAGCCTCCAAACGACGTCATACACTATAGGATTGTGTACGGTAATTGGGGTGGCAAGTATGTGTGCGTGAGAGGAGAGGGGCAGCCCATTACACGGGTAGGCAGCGGGTGAGTCAGGAGAAAGGTGATGAACATGTTGGGGCAGAGTGGAGCTGAGGGACAAACAACGAGCTCGCTTTTAAGCCACAATGCAGCGATTGTTCTCGGAGAGTCTCTAAGCTGATCAGTGAAAGATGAGACGAGTAGCGGTTCATGTCTAGTGGGGTCCAATAAGACGTGGCTAGGAGACGGAGAGAAAAGGAGATTTAAAACAGAGAGGAAGGCAGAGAGCTGGAGCACGTTCAGAGCTCTTTTCCCATCTGGGAATGAAAGCCACTGGAGCTCTGGGGCCCTGCCAGCCTTATTGACGAAGCAACTGCCCAGATCTCAATGTTCTCTCTGTCTCTTTCCCTCTCTATGCTAATCTATTGCCAATACTGTATCTCACTATTCATCTTTCCTGCTGTTTGTCCCTCTCTCTCTCTCTCTCTCTCTCATCCTCCTCCTGCACAGGAAAGAATTAAAAAAAACAAAAAACAATGCACCATTCTTCCGTCTCGACATGACTATGATCATGGACCCTGTAGAGATGCTTCGAGCTCTGTGATGCGAGTGCGACGTGAGCGGGAGCCTTGCCCATATCAGTAGCAACTAAAGAAGAGAACATAACGGAGCCACAAGAAAAAAGCAAATCCATCAAACTTTTTTTTCCCTTTTATTCCTCACATCCTGTTTTAATATCAGTAACTCACTTGAGGAACATGACATGTAGACAAATTGAATCACATTTTAGTTAGCTGCTGAACACCAGTTCCTGATATCTATATCAGAAAAAAAACCCAAAAACAAAAAACTAAATATTTTATGAGAGCTGATGCAAGCGCAAGCAATTCAATGCTGGAGTTAAGTCTCTTTAATTTGTCGACCCACCTGTGCAAAGGCACAACGCACTTCACAGTATATCACTTAGAGTAATGAATATAATTAAAATGATAAAATGTCGAGTTGCGCGCGGCGTATGAAGTCGTAATTTACAGGCTGTGCACTTGCTGGGTTGACTAGCTGGCTCCAGGTATAAGGTTTCAACACAGAGCTGTGTTTCTGCGGCTCTAAATGAAGAACACAAGGTCCCCTGCAGATGCTAGAGTTACACACACACACATACACACACACACACACACACACACACACACACACACACTCAGAAAGAGAGGGAGGGAGAGAGTGTGGAGGGCTGAGGTAGAGCAAGGCAGACAGTTAATATAAGAGACAATGGAGCTGGGTTATAGAGCGGCCAGCAGGTGACAAAGTTAACAAGTAAATGAGAGCTCAGTACATGCGTGGTCTGGGTATGTACTATGAGCAGACGCACACAAACACACACACACACACACGCACACACACACACACATATATTTATACTTTTCACTCTCTCTGCCTGGGCGTGTAATCACATGTTAGATTTCTGCTCTCAGTCTTGTGCATGTGGTGCAGTCTTCATTCTCCATAATTGTACAGTCATTTTGCAAACAGCACATTACTGTCTAAGAAACTACACATTCACATTTATACTGCAATTCCTGCGCGTACAAGCAGAGCAGAAGCTTTGCCTGAAAAACAACCCGACTGCATCGGTTCTCTCTTTGTACATTCCCATCTTTGTCGTTTTGCACAGATGGATTTCTTTCAGCTTTGATCTTAAATCTTTAAACCTCCCCTCCCCACAGCCTGTCACATGGGGTATTTCCAAATTTGACAGGCTCTGCCACTTCAGTGTCATCCGTCATACTGCGTGTGACATGACTAAACTGTTAAACCGACATCCCATCACACCCAACAGATGTTTCGCGTCCCGCCGAGCTGAGGCCATGAGTCCGTTTGAAAGAGGTTGACCGTAGAGCGCCGTTGTGCTTTTCTTCTCCCATGTACTGTCTGTTCTACCCGGCGACAGCAGCTTCCTGTGTTTGTTATTGGAGGATGGGGGGGAAGTGCTGGCTGATTAAATAAAAAAGCACCAGTTCACACAGAAAAACAGCAAAAGAATCCCTTGTCCTTACTCAGAGGGGCATCAGAGACAAGCGGATAGAGCGGGGTGAGAAGAAAGAGGATGGTTGGAGGGTGCAAGAGTGAGGACAGTTCCTTTTGCTAGAACATGAGATTGGGTTCCAGTGTTAAGGGTCAACTATTTGGATCAGCAAGAATGTGCTTACTGCAGCGTGCAAGAGAACTAACCGCTCGGCCATCAGCCCTGATGTTCTCATCCATGATAACCAGCAACATCAACAAGCATGAAATAAACTTTTAGCGGGCTGAATTCCAAATACGAAAAACACAAAAACAACACGTTGGTCAATATTATTCTCCTCTCCCTCCTGCATAGAAAGACACACACACACACACACACAGACACACATGCACACACACGCACGCACACACATAGCAGCTAGCAAGTGGGTGTGCTAATCTCTGGAGACACTTAAGTTGAACACTCGTGGGACAAAAAGAGTTTAATTTGGATGCCAAGCCCTCTAGCTACAGACCAACACCATAATCAACTGAACCACAGCGAGAGAGAGAGACAGAGAAATAAAGAGTGAGAAACAGAGTGGAAGGATGATTCTACAAAATGGGAGAAAGACAGGAAGCTGGGAGAGGGGGGAATGTTATCTACGAAATCCTTTATCAAAATTGTGTCCCCTGCCAACACTCCTCCTAGGCACTGATCTGGTCTGCATGCCTTTTCCACCACTGCGGACACTGTTCTCTTAAAGAGAAAGGAAAGCATATAACTAAACAGAGTCATTGTCCATATGAATGATAAAGAAAATGCTTATAATTTCATGCTAAAGTCGTATCTCTGCAGAACTCATAGATCATTTCTGGATCAGTGCAAACGTTTGTGTGGCCGACTTTGTGCGGGGTCGGGAAAGCTCCCAGATGGCGCGGCTTGCCAAACTTGCTGCCTTGCTCTGGGTGCTGGCAATGCGGAGAGGAAATCAGAGAGTCAGTGAGAGAGAACACTTCATCCTGCCAAAACAAAATTTAATAGAAAACCGTGAGAAGACACAAAATCATACGTTTTATAATCACAGTCCTCGAAATACATTTTGCTCCCTGATTTTGGTGGAGCTTGGTAGTATCACCATGTACTCTCCCAGTGCTAATCAGAGACAAATGTGTTACTTTGGGTTATGCAATTAAATGTCGGTCGATTTAAAAAAGAAAAAAAAACAAGATAAATATGACTCAGCGAATGTCATAAACACCAACCAGTTTAAGACAAAAACAATCCATTTTCACACCTCCACAGAAGGTGTTAAACCCAGAGATTTTTTTATATTACCAACACTGTGATAACAATTTGAATGCATAAAAGAAATACACACTATTAAGGTTTCTGTCATTTTAAATTAATGTACAGGAACAACACTATGTAAAAGTTTAAACTGTGTTTTACTTTTTTTTTTTTTCTGTACTTTGCCCTCCATGACCTCCCTGCCACTAATGTGATACTGGGACAAACAGGTCTTGAAGAGAGAGTGTTTTAATACTATTGCATGAAGACACACTTTTTGTTGCTCTCTGCTGTAATATTTCATTATAGGAGCCACAATAAACTGCTTACTTTGGTTTCCCTCATGGCGGTACTGTATATTGCGACTGCACTGTAGTGGAGTCTGTCTGAGATGTTTCAGACGGTGCCATGCATCAGCTTGTGTTTTAACTGGCAGTGCTAAAATTACATTGTCCCGTGTTCTCTAAATTGTCTTCAAAAGCAATTAAATATGGCAATTACAGACCTCAGACACAAAAGTTCAAATGAAGTGCATTGTCTTCTTCTCTTTCTTCTTCTTGGAGAAACATCACTAAGATATTCCTACTGGGAAAGTGTTTTCTTTTCTTTCTTTTTTTTCTTTTTCTTTTTGGTATTGGTAATATTTCCAAAAATAACAAGAATAGCCCTTAACATAATGAAATCCAGCACATCAGCCTTTCCCTGGATACTCAGCTTGTAGACAATAATGTCAAATCTTTTGACACTGTGTCAGGGTAGAGTTATTATATATTATATTTTTAAGGCTAAAATTTTGAGGAATTACTGTATGATTATTGGATTACATTAGGGAAGGCCCATCCCCCTGCACCTTAGGATTTAGAATATGTTTTTGGTATCAGTGCATTCAGAAAGTATTCAGACCCCTTCATGTTGTTACTAAAATCATTCA